GAGAGAGAGAGAGAGAGAGAGAGAGAGAGAGAGAGAGAGAGAGAGAGAGAGAGCATGAGATCTGTAGATGGACACTCATTGGAGGAAAATAGCTTGAAAGAGAGAGGTAAAAAGCGTTGGGAGAGAGGTAAACAGCGTTGGGAGAGAGAGGGAAACAGCGTTGGGAGAGAGAGGGAAACAGCGTTGAGAGCTCGTGTTATCTGGGACAATCCAAGAGGAGAGCAGTGGGTTCGACCCTTGAAATTGCCGATCAATGGCGCCGATGTTGCTTTTCTTTTGTCGCCAGTCACTTGGACATAGCCTGTTCTCGGTCTTTTCTTTTTTGCTCTCTCTTGCTTTCTTTTTTCCTTTTTTAGACTTAGGTTGCTGGCGCATCCATAGCGCTGTCATGATGAAAGAATCGGCACCGCTCTCACGCTGCACGCAGGGGCGATTAATCCATTACGAGGGCCTCGTCACACTAGGACTTTTTTGCTTATTTATTATGGACATAATTGTGGTGAGATGCGTCCAGTTTCGGCCGTGAATGCGGTCAGATACCGTGTATGCTGTGAGAGCGGTCAGATACCGTGAATGCGGCCAGATACCGTGAATGCGGCCAGATACCGTGAATGCGGTCAGATACGTATAGGATAGAGCTAGTGTTAGTATGCCGTGAGAGCGGCGCATCTCATGATGGAAGAATGGGTGCCGCTCTCGCGCTGCAAAGAATGGGAACCATCTCCTCCATACCAAGCAAAGGGGCACTCTCTCTTCCACTTCGATCGCATCTATACCAAGCAGGGGCGATTAATGGAAGGCCAATCAATCAAGATGCATGATCATCACACGGGTAGTAGAACGTGTGATTCCAGGGGGTGTAAGGTAAGGGGTGGGTGATAGGATAGGGGTGTGTGTTCGAGAAAGGCGTGGGAAATATAGATAGTGCATGCGCGAACGAAGAATGCATGGAAATGCAGAACGCACAAAGAGAGATGAGGAAGACAGGCCTTGATATGCACGTGGCAGGCATGGCTCGATGGGAACTGAAGAAAGGGAAGGGAAAGCAGGAGGTAAGGAGGAGGAGGAGGAGGAGGAGGAGGAGGAGGAGAAGGAGGAGGAGGAATGGGGTGTGTTAGAAAATGGCGCGGGGAATATAGATAGCGAATGCGGAAGAAGAATGCATGCGTGGAAACACAGAACGTACAAAGAGAGATGAGGAAGATGGGTGCCTTGATATCCATGTGGCAGGCGTATCGATCGGAGCTGAAAAAAGGAAGCGAAAGAGGAGGAGGAGGAGGAGGAGGAGGAGGAGGAGGAGGAGGAGGAGGAGGTAATAAATGGAAACGGGGGCTTGTCGTGTCATGCGGAGCGCACGCAGGATTGGAAAAGGAGAGGAGGAAAAAGAAAGAAGAAATACTGTAATGAGGTTAAGAGGATTTTCTTCGCGTCGCGAGACATGGAAGGCACGTCGGGATCGGGGTAGGAGGGAGGGAAGAGAAATTGGTTGGGGGGGAGGGGGGAGACGAGATGGAGAGCTTCGTCATGCCACGTGGAGGGGTAGTCGGGACCGCAGTTGGAGGGAGGAGGAGGGGGAGGTTGGGGGGCATGGGGGGTTTGTGTGTGAGACATGCAACACACGTCGGGATCGGTGCAAGGCCGTGGAGGAGGGTTTTACCGTACGGCTTTGCGGGCACGTCGGGATCGGAGTGGTGGAAGAAGCAGCAAAAGAAGGTGGCGATGCTAAAGACGTTAGGCACACACACACACACACACAGACACACAGAGAGAGAGAGAGAGAGAGAGAGAGAGAGAGAGAGAGAGAGAGAGAGAGAGAGAGAGAGAGAGAGAGA